CTCCACATACCTTTGGTGAGCATCATTCTATTTCAAAAATAAAATTTTCATTAGTTAAACCAATTTAAATTTTATTAACATTAAAAATAAATATATTTAATATATCATAAAAGAATTAGATACTTACATATGTCTGCTTAGCTTGTGGACATACCCAAGTGGGTGGGGCATCTTTTGGAGCATTAGGTCGGCAAGTCGTGTGAATCAACAGGTATAACTCTAACGGTGTGGGTCTAACTCCCCCTCTTTTTGTTGCCTATTAAAGCATCAATAAAATTCAATTTTTAAAAATGTTTAGATGAAGAAAAGGTAAGGAATGTTGATCAAATATAAAAAACAAGCCTAATCATCTACTTTGTGTAATTTTTTTTTCCTTATATATGCCAAGTATATCTTTCTTAAGTAAAGGTTAAAAAATGGTATTTAATTAGTATCATATGCCAAAAAAACAAAAAATGTTCACTTTCAACAATGTTTCTATATAAATATATATGTAAGCATGTTCTACTAACCAATCGATCCTTGTGGATCCCAATAAAAATGCATCTAATTGTGTGGGTCACACGTTCACCATTTGCCCAATTTTTTCGACCTCTTTCTTGGAGTCCAATATATTTTGGACTCCTCCATTTTGCTAGCAAAATCTTAAAGGTTTCCTTATGCATGAACTTAGGCAACTTCTTGTAATTGACCCATGCCTTTCAGGCCCGATGAAACTCTTCATGGAAATGGTTTCAGCAATGTAATCTCTAAATCCTATACACACGAGCATCATCTTCTTCCCAATAATATGTCATCTTCAGTTATTAAAATTAGTTAAATTTTAATAATTCATTTGATTTATTAAAAAAAAAAAGGGCAGAGTTCCACCTAAAATATCAATTTTCCCACTATTAACAAAATAAGAAAAATCATATAAAAATATTCAACACTTTCATATCATAATCTCATCAAAAGATAGCATCTAAATAAGTTCCCAAAAATACTTCATAGCCAATATACTCAAAATGAAATTTTATCATGGAAGCATAACATAATCTAGCAACAAAAATGGCCTTTTCATGTTCACAAATCTGTTCCGGGAAGGAAAATTAAAAAAAAAAAAAAAAA